GGTAAATTGGCTGCTCGCTTTGATTTGTTCTCGCTGGGTTTATGTGAATATCGGTGAGGGAGGGTTCATAAAAAATTTGTAAATTTTTAAATCGCTTAGTTGAGTACAATGTCGGCCTATGGATTTGCACAAATAAAGGGTGTTTTTTGCGATATGTGGTTGTAAAGAATGCACAAATGCATATAATTTAATGTGTGTTTAAAAATTTAGCTTTATTATAAAGATATACGTGTAAAATTGATTTTGGGTAGGCGACCACCGCAGCTGGTCGAATAAATTTCGGACGAGAGGCATAATGCCGATCGCTTTTTGCGGACTTATCTCAGGGTATGAATATTCGCTTCCAAGTCGGCAATCATCTCGGGCTTATCTGCTTGCACAAGATACTYCACATAATCTTATCAAAAATAGTACAGCGTCGTTAAATCACAYGACCTTGGGGGCCACGCCACAGGCCCAAGACTTGAGATAAAGCGTTCACTAAAAGTTTTCTTCAATAAACTGATTGTTTCGTTGGCTGTATGGCATTTGACGCCGTCAGAAGGAAACATTCTTCAATACTTGACTGTASCATTATAGGTGGCTTTGTTTTTGAAGAAAGTTTTCGACTTCAATTCTCACACAAGCCGAATTGTGAGATTTTTTCGCAAAATTTTCTGTAAAGTTGCTAGGCACTGCTCCAATGGATGCAATGACGGATGTAGTCATTTGGGTCTTCTTCGATACTTCGCTAAAACTCACACATATAAAAATAACCAATCAAAATAAATTATGTCTGATTTTCGTAATTAATGCAGTTACATGAGTATCTTAAAAAAATTATTTAATTGTGGCCCAGTTATGATTCCCTCATGCTTCCCTGAAAATTTGACAAATATTGTGTAGTCGAAAAAGTATTTTCGTATTTCGTAATTAAATTTCAACTTATTTTTTTTTTTGTGTATATTTATAATGAAATTGCATAAACCAAGTATGTACCATTTTGGTCCACCATCTTTTACCATTTTTCCGCTGGAGACATTATTCCATCAGTGTAAAACTTATTTGGTTTCTTACCGAAAAACTACGATAAGTAATTTTCACAGGCTTCTCTTGAAGCCAACTTTGCTCCATTAAGGGAGTTTTGCATTGACCGAAACTAATGGTAGGCCGATGGTGAGGGCTATATGGTGGATGCATCAACACTTCCCAGCCAAGCTCTCCCAGTTTTTGTCGAATCATCAAAGATGTGTATGATCTGGCGATGTCCTGATGGAAGACAAATCCATTTCTGTTGGTCCGGTTTGGGCGTTTTTTTCGATGGCTTGCTTCAATGTCATCAGTTGTTGACAGTAAAATGTAGAATCAATCGTTCAACCAGGCTGGAGCAGCTCATAGTGGATGATTCCTTGCCAAACCCACCAAACACTCAGTATAACCTTTTGAGGCGTCAATCTTGGCTTGGCAACCATTTGCTGAACTTCGCGACGTTTGGACTATGATGATACGGATGATAAGAAAAATCTACATCTTTGAATGATGTTATATAGACAGATTTTAGTAAAGTTTTTGATAAAGTAAAAGCTCGGTTCTTTTGGAAAAAACTGCAGATTCAGTTTGGTCTCATTCATTGTGGTTTTACGGAAACAGCATTTTCGAAGTAGGGGGTCAGCACTTAAACAAAAAAAATAAAAAATCTAGAATTTTGTTTGCAATCACGACACGGCAAAATCTGTGCGAGGGAGAGCTTACGCAAAGCTAATTCAGATAAATATTTGTAATGCCCTAAAAAATGCTATAACTAGCGATGTCCCTAAACATACTGACACTTAAAACGCAATAACTTCACTTTCAATCTATGAAATGTCATGAAATTCTCAGTGGACAATCGATAAAGATAGCAGATTCTAACGCATCAGTTGACATATAGATGGCGGCACCAGAAGGAGCTGGATTCAAAAAGTTTTTTTTTACTTTGGAAAACACCTTGTAGAAGATAAGTGACTTGACTGGCGAAGCAATGCTTTATAAGTGGGATTTAAGATTCTCTAAGTTAATCGATTAGTAGCAATTTGTCCAACAACTATAATACTAGACCYCGATTCTCCTACTCAGTTCCAAGTATTATGTGATATATATGACACTCCAAGTCAAATGTGGCTTTTATTACAGAAATGTTTATTTCTGACGACGAGCGCAAAACATTCATACAACTACTGACGCTTAGCTTTAATCACAAAAAATTAATCGATATTCAATTATATATATTTTATTCACTTTGGATTTTCAGTCCAGCAGTTTGTTTGTTTGAGAACCTCACAAGAAATTGCATATGACTCCCACACACATCCATTTTTTTGTTTGTAGAAGATATTTTCCTTTCAATTCACCACGATACAATTGAATTGTTGCTGGAAGCTAAATTGGCAATTAACAACAGTCAATATATGTGAGAGTATTTGTGTATTTCTCTGTAGGTAAGTTCGATAGCGGGGAATAAACAAATAATTTGGTGTGGGTATATTGTGAATACCCTGAACAGAGTACTTTAAGTTGACCACGATTTCTGTAATGCCCTTACGGACACGTCGAGGACCCTATAACGTAAATATATAAATAATTAGAGGGAAGAGCTGAATCGATTTTGTCATGACTATTTGTCTATATAAACTCGAACAGCGCTTGAGATATCAGTCTGAAATTATGCAGACGTTCTTTTTCCTCGAAGAAACTAGTTAATTTCTAGGAACCGCCGATGACGTACTACCAAAGAATATGGCTGTGATGCATATTGACCGTTCTAACTGTAGTCCTTGAATGGAAATATTTGAAAAGGTAACTGCACGAGCACCGACATTTRTCCAAACTAACAATATAATCCCTGAACAAATTGTTCAGAACGAACTGTTATGGCACATAACTTCTATTYAAACTGACCGATGRAAATYAAGTCCTTGTGTRRTAACAATTYTATATTTGACARAGTATAGTCACGAAACTTAACAGGGAAAATTATTTACATTATTTTATTATAATGTAGCATCTTTATAAATGATATTTTTTCCTATTAAGTAATCTTAGTAACAATATCACTGGAAAATTCTAGCAAAATATTGGATGTAAGCCGTTGCCGGTTACGTTTTCAAATTTAGTTATTTGCAGATATAATTTTCAGCAGAAATGCGTCTGTGAAAAGTACGATGGCTTCGGTTCTTCTTAAATTTTAATATATTTGGGGAACTATTTAAGACTTGGCTTAGATATTTTATAGCAAAGAAATAATTTAATAAAGTACTTCTTCATGAATAATCMTAATCATAGTGGCGAATGATCAACAGGAGCTTTTCTGCCTGGACAAGAAACTTCACACAATCCCGCCAAAAATATTTCAGCTTTGTTAAATCACACAATCTTGAAGGTCATATCACACGTGATTATGGTATGCTTCTTCTTCTTCTTCTTTATTGGCGTAGACACCAATTACGCGGCTAAAGCCGAGAGTGTAATTCTTACACACCACTAATATTCATAGCAATTAGCTAAGTCGACAAATAGGCACATATTTTTGAGCTTATCATGATTACTACTAATTGTTTCATTATGATAATTACTCCTAAAGTTCATAGACTGAAACCAAGCGTAAACAGCTTATTTACTTAACCAATACTTAGAAAACTGAATAAGCTGTAGTGGACGCCGGTAAAAATTACCTTGATCCTTTATCTCGAAGGTAAATAGATTTCCATCAATAATTTCTTTTGAAACTAGTATAAATTTCGAAAACATACCATAGCACACATATTTTGAAGGTCGAATAATTCATCGCCATCGTTCGCATCTCTTCGTGTACATCGTATATATTAATTTTTTTTACGAAAAAAGTATTATTGGAAAAATACTCTAATTATTTGGGAGAAGGTCTCTGAAATTGTTTTATGCACCAAAAAATCAAAACTCGTTGACCGTTATAATACAAAGCTCTGTAAAAGTGGTCATGGAAGTTCTCCCAAAATAGTGAAGAGATCAAGCTTCCAGAAAAAATCTTTCTTAATGTTGGCGAATCTGAAAGTCATATACACACTATAGTTTATCAGGAGATTCTGCTGCGAACTGCTTAGACCGATAATAATGAATGAATGTAATAACATATGTTTGACATCAGGAGATTGCGTCAACCGTTGCGTTAATTTTCCATTTGTTTCGCATTTTGTGTAACTTTTCAAATGCGCTAATGAATTGCCTCGTTGAAAGAATTGAAATCCTTTTTGAACAAAGAAAACATTAAGTAATTTGAGCGAACCTCATCAGTAAAATAAAAGGATGATAATAAACGTGAGGCTTAATGCTTAGGGGCGTAACCAATAATCTAACAAACTACCTGTGATAGTAGTATGCGATTATTCACAATACAGGTACAACTAAACCTGCAATATGGGCCTAAAGTTCAACAAATAATAGACCCGCGAACAGTTACATATATACTTTTAGTTAGACGATCTACGGTCAGGTAAAAATAATAAAAACTGAAAAAGTCTGAAATAATCTACCTGTTCGACTTATATGCTTTGTCTATCGTGGACTAGTATATATATGGCTAAATTTTCTTTCCACCATCATAACAGTACAAGTTGTTAACTCTGAAACATCTACTCTAAGAACACCTTACAATTATGGACTTATCCACGAACAGCAACATGAAATTAGGAAACGTAAGCGAATTGACAGAATATGCACTTGACTTGAGCCTTTCTACGACGAACTCAGCTGTAAGTGTTGAACATAGAGCAATAGTTAATTTGCGCGAAATTAGAAATCGACAACAACAAGCGAACGAGCGATCATCGGCAGCAGATCTTCAATTGAAACGCCGACAAGAATTTGATATAAAGTTCAATGACAAGCTGAAAAAACGAAAACTGGACGAAAACATAATGCCAGTACGAGAAGAAACACCGCGACCTATGGTAGAAATATCACGGGCACAGACACCTGTCTCTTATACACATCTAGATAAAGAAGATAGCTAGGGTCTCTACTAATCGCAGATCAACGATACCTTATACAAGACGGACCAACCGATGTCCAGCTATTAAACAGGAACCAGCAAGTAATGAGAATTTAATCGCATCGAATACCTTAACTACAGGCAACTCGCTCATCCAGATACCATCCTCTTCATCAGCACAATCGGTGACAGCTACAGCTCATATTTCATCTGTCAGTGAGGGTGTTAACATTAAACAGGAACCGAACGGTGAGGAAAGCACATCATCCATTGTTTCTAATATAGATCACGATGATGCAAGACCAGCATTAGAGGAGTTGTCTGGGGTCCAAATCGGACCACATGGCACACGCGTGTCCGAAGAGGATTTGGCGAACATAAATGAGACTGAAGCRTCAATTGCCACGCGGCAACTTATGAGCWTGATMTTCGAYCGTGCAACTCTAGCCACRCATACRCTCAGTGGCAAACCCTCGCCCGCTTTTCTGDACCGTGCCCGCCCACTAAAGGCACAACTAGACCCACTGAAAGTGGCTGATATTATWTATTTTCTTAAAAATGAAAAAGGTTTTCGCGAACACGAAATCCGGAAGGCCATCACCATGAAGTGTGCCGACACCGCCAAGGCCATTAGAAGGAGCTTAGCCAAGGCTAATTTAAGTAAATTATTGTAATACCTTAAAAATACATATATGTATATAGAGATTATACCTTATGATATACTTTTGACTGCTTAATAAAAATCAATTTTTTAAAATAAATGTTATGTATATAGGTTGTCGAAAAGAAGGATTAATTTATCAAAAATAAATGTATTAGGGGGCATCCGATTATATCGTGTTATTCGATATATATAGTACATATCTCAGCAGGTTGGTTTAAGCTGAGTCAGTGGCTGTTGTCCTGGCCGCGCTAATGCTTTTCTTGCGGCACATATATCGGAAGCTTACGAGCGCACTGCGCAACAATCGATGTGCCATACGTTTTAAGAGAGGTAGGGAGATATAAAATTCACTGTCTTTGGAATGGTATGAACAAAAGTTTTTTGCAGATGAAGTGAAAAGTGAATATTTTCCGAGTTGTGTCATGTACTTTTCAAATTTTTTTAGCGTGAAGAACACTTAAAAAATTCCAATTGTTTAATAAAAAGCTATGTAAAATTTATAATATAGCACGAATATTTTTCTTTGACTTCACAAATTTTCATCAATTTATCTTCAGTAGTTCATAAAAAAATAATTTTACAATTTTATTGTGCTTTAAATTTCAACCTTCAATAACTTTAACAAAAATAAAAAATTTTAACGAAAGATTTATACCACAAGGTATGCTAATACCTAATGAACAGCTAATTTTCAAAATCGGAGATCGTTCGAAATTTTCATGGACCACTTGACGTGGTTTGACTCAGCAACTAATTGATAAATTAGAATCCATAAATTCTTTCCAAGCAAAACAATATCAAATTTCATCAGAAACTTCTACATTGGAATACAGTGAATACGGAAAAATGTATTCCTTATTTTTGGTACTAACTACTGTTAGATGAACAAAAGTATAATATTCTGTAGCAACTGGTTACAAGAGTATAAGAATAGGGTTAGAATAGCACAAGAGTTGTTTTATAAGAAAAACGCAAGTTCATGATTCAAAATACACTTTATTATTCAGCATAATCTCCTTGAACATTAATACACTTGCTCCAATGATCCTCCAATCTGTGGTTTCTATCYCTGAAGTGAGTAACTCAAAAGGTCTACAAAATATGCTGTTGAACTATTATGACCTCTTCATTTAATGAAAAACGTTTGCCACGCATACATTTTTTGAGTTTTGAAAACAAATGGCAGTCACTGGGGCCAAATCTGGTGAATACGTTGGATTCTCCAACAATTCGAACTTCAATTCATGGATTTTAGCCATTGTGACACGACGTATTGTCSTGATTGGTCTTCAATTGGTTCAAAAAGTTGAAAAAATATTCAAAATTAATTGTTTTACCAGTTTGCAAGTAATCCACAAAGAAAATTCCTCTAGCATCCCAAAAAACTGATGCCATAACCTTCTTAGCCGATTTCCGAGCACGAACTCGTTTCGAAGCCGAAAAACCAGGTTCATACCACACTAGCTTCTTGTTTTGATCTCAAGTCTCATCCATAGTGACGAATCGACRCCCAAAATTCACTTTAAAACGATCCAAATGTTGCTTCGAATGTGTTTTTGTTCCACTGTTAGCGAAAGCGGCACCCCTTAAAATACGGCTCACACTATCTAATGAGATGTGGAGATGTGTCCACCAAACCTCTCTCAGTAATTTCTGTTCTGTTCTATTTGTATGTGAACGACATTAAATGKCTTGTAAACAAAGAATGAATTGACTGATCAAAACGAAACTTCACATACCTTCATATCAAGAGTGTACCAAAAAAAATTGTACTAATAGCATGTACTGAGTTACACTCCATATAATCCATAACTTTGGGCTTGAAAAGCTCTTGTCTGATTGATCTGGTAACTTCATAATTTGTCAATCAACATAATGTAAAGCAACTGAATTTTCGTGACAAACATTTTGTTGTCGAATGGCTATAGGAAAGTATAGGCTAAACATTATTAATCAAACCATATTAGTATTTCCCAAAGCAAATCTTTGGTTTCAGGGCAATGCAAAATAACAGCTGGTACCATGAGAAAACAGACTGCCTACCTCGCAACGTTACGATCGACCACAACACATGCGGTATGGAATAGATATCGACAATTGAAACGATACGCATTTGCAGACAGAAAAGAGATTGCCCCGAACCAACTCTTTTTACTGTTTTACCAACACTGATTTTCGGTACAGACTTCTACTATGAAGAGTGTTCAGTAAGAAATACTTGATTGATGATTTAGTCTTATCACAGTTCTTTCAAGATTTTTTACCACATTTCTAGCAAGGAGGGACAGACTAACGAATGAACGAATAAACCAACCTAAGAAAGTTAATTATTTTCAGATATAAAACAAGATCTCTACCTGAATAACTTTTGGTGCCAAAAAAGCCCTTAGGCTTCTCCAATACGTTTTTCACTTATTTTGTGGAACTTTGTCGATCTCAGTATGTAGAAAGAATATATAATATCCGTATATATAATCACAAATAATTTTGAMATTTTCATATTTTATTAATCATTACAAAATCTACCCTCATATATTTCTACTCTTACACATATCATAACACACATACATATAATATATCTATAGGATAATAGAAAAATTAATCTAAGTTAGTCTTGGATAAGCTTCTCTTTTTGACAATTCTGTCGATTTCTGCACACTTCATAGTGATTGTGTGTCGGATGTCTGGCTCCGTACAGTTGAAAACTCGTTTCACATAATGCGTTATATCTGCTACTTTCAAAGGGTCTAGTTGGGGTTTGATTGGGCGGTTACATTTCAGAAATCTGTTCGAGGGTTTGCCACTGAGTGTGTGCGTCGCTAAAGTTTGCCGGTCAAAGATTAAAGTCAATAGTTTCCGCGTGGCAATTGAAACTTCCATACCGTCAATTTTGGCCAAATCTTTTTTAGAAACACGTGTGCCATATGGACCTATTT